GTCTGAAATACTCATGCCATGCCACTAGGTGCTAAAATGTCCACTTGAACAACATATCTAAAAAAAAAGAGAAAGAATACCCTTCCTCCAAAATGTGTTTTTCTCTTAGATACAGTTTTCGTTCAGTTTTTAACCCTTTCAGCACACAATCAAAGTTTGCAGGTAACAGGATGAGATTAAAGCGGGACAGATACAGGGAAAAAAGATCATTGCTTCGGTTTCTAGAACTCAAAGTGATAATGGGCATGCATAAAAAAGGCCACTATATCGTTGTTTCAGAAAAGCTCTGTCTTTTGAGTCAGTGTGTTTTTATATGTGACTAAGTCCAGGCAGGGCTAAGTTTTGCTCCCTTTCAAACTTACTTGTCATTAAAATATGAAAACAGTCAGGTCACGGTTGTCATGTACAAAACTACTAGAGCAGCAGACCTTTCTTGTCAAGACTGAAATCAGAATTTAATGAAAGTGCAGGTTTAAACTGGAAACATGATGTCATTTGACATCTGAATGCATTCCAAGCTCCCGCTCCCCTGACTCAATATTACTCTAAACTTATGAATGGACAAGACTCTGCAAGAAAAAAAAAGAAGAAGAAAATGAGGAATGTAAAAGAACTATTGGGTCCATATAACCTTCTTAAATTGATGGCCTAACTCATTTGGCACATGGCATTTTTTGTGTTTCCTGAAAACCTTTAAAAAATGAGTTGGGCCATTGTTTTAGGAAGGTGACAGAATATAAACAAGGGAAGGATCATGCTTGTGCAGTGACATGCAGCAGGCCTTCCTGTCTGTGCTTATATCAGATTTTAGTTGTTATAGATAAAAGTGAAATTATTTTCCACACTTACTAGTGCTTGTGTATGACAGCGTTGAAGAGTTTGCCGTCCCTCCAGCTGGTGGTGAAGTTGTCACAGCGGATGCCCTGGTAGCCATCTGTCACCCTCTGAGACCAGAGCAGCAGCTTCTCTTTGGCGGTCATGTCCTCTGACTGACCGTTGACCTGAATGTCTGAGATCTGACACAACACAAACACAAAGAATGTTAAGTCTTTAACTCACAGAGCGCTCACAGGTACTGTGTGATTTAGAAAAATTTAGTCATTAGTGGAAACCAAAAGATGCCACTCAATGGAATTACAACACCACAAAAGATTTTTGTTTTTATTTAACGATTATTCCCTTACCTTCATTATTTCATGACTTCATTACTTTTTTAGCTTATATGTTTATCAGATCTGTAAACCTAATTACATGATTAGAAGGAGGAATTAAGATAAATGCTTAGTCTGGTTTCAAATAAATATTGTCGAGGCTCTGGCATCCACATTATTTTTTGTTTGGGGATAGTATTACTGCTGCTCATCAACGTTTTACATACAGATTTACTAACTTTAGGATAATTAGCCTGTGGGATTTAGCTCAGCATTATATGATTAGAGGGACAATGTATTCCATCATCCTTTGATAGTGAGCCTTCGTGACTCACCAGCAACCACATCCCAGCTGTCTCCTGTTATTTTCTATTGTGTAAATGTATAAAGACACTGTATCTACAGGGCGCATCAGTGTCTTTACAAAATAATCTCATACGCACAATGCATGCTTTGCTTCACCTTTTTGGAATCTAAAGCCAAACTTTTCATTTTATTGTGGGTTTATTTTATGGTTCTTGAGACAAGACATCAGGCTGATGTTTAGAGATTTCAGCCTGGCAGCTCCTGGCACAGCCACGGAGACGGAGGAGTGACGCCAACATGTTGGATCCTTCTCAGGACGCACCTTCCCCTCAGGAAAAAGGGAGAGAGTGACTCACTCAAACACTCCCTGTTGGTGTTTTGTCTCTTCTTACAGTTCCAATGAAGCTAATGCAATGACTGTGATGTTAGTGTGTTACTTCTTATAATATGTTTAAAATGAGCATGTACTAATGAGTATCATTAGAGAGGAGATGTGAAGAGCCCAGTCCATTTTGATTGCTTCCAGTGAGATGAGGAAACAGCAGCTGTGATCCCAGAGACAGAGGATAAGAGGAATAAAATAATGGAACACAACACTGACAGAGGAGGAGACCTGGAAGTGCAGGATGATGGTCCATATTAACCCCAGGGTCAGCTTGGGGTTACCATCGGCTATGTCATCATTTCTGATGTTAACCAGTTTGACCTGAGAAAAAAGCAACAACCATTTGATAATTATAATTATCATGTTTAACCAGATTAAATTTAAGGATTCATTTTAGCAACGCACCTGCCGATGTTTGAGGAAGTCCAGTGCTATCTGTACATTCTGCAGCTTGTGGAAGCGCATACGGCCTTTCTCTCTAGGCTAAGAAGGAGAAAATGAAGTGTTAGTTTCAGTTTGGTACCATTATCAGAGATGG